AGCCAATAGTAAACTAGCATTGTACCCGCCCTCTGCTGATGGACCTGATGGAGAACTGCAGCAGAGGGCGGGTACAATGCTAGTTTACTATTGGCTATTGCAAATTGAAATAGCCAATAGGAATCTAGCAATGCATTCCAATGGGCAAAAACGTTTTTTATTTTTTTCTATATTCTGACACCGGCTCCGTGTAAGAATGAAGAAAAAAAAGAAACAGCAGTGTTTCTCTCCTTGGCGGCCGGGAGCAGGAGACTCCCGGAGTGCCAGGGAGAGTTTGCTGTTTGGAGATCAGTGTCCCTGGTTAGCAGGTAACCAGGGATGCTATCTTTCTGCAAGTGGCCGGAGGCAGCCGTAAGATCCAGGCTGGCTCCGCCCAGCTGTCAGAAGCAGGCTGTCCGGCCGCTTGGCCAGCTTCGGCTTTCAGCGCGGCTCTGCCGAGCCGATGCATATGCGTTCGGCTCAACTGGAGCAGCTGTGCATGACAACCAATTAGCTTCTCTTTTATTTTTTACATCTTAACTGAACAAACTGAAGAGAGAAGCTGATTGGTTGCCATGCACAGCTGCTCCAGTTTTTGTCTGCTCCAGTTTTGATAAATTCCCCTCAATGTGTTTGACATTTTTTCTGTGTGGAAGTTGTGGTCTCTTTGCAGAGGTCCAGCACACCCCTTCTGAGTCAGACCTTGAGCTTTGCAATCACCAAAGCTCATGCTCCCTGCTGATTGAAGCAGAGCTGTGACCTTTAACTGAAACTGAAAATTAAATATTTACTTTGAAAGGTATGTTCAAGTGAATGACCGTAAATAGGGTGAACGCTGATTACTCATTCATGTGGGAGTAATGTTAATATTTGCTAGAACATGATTGGTTGACTAAAGGGAACCCAGTTACCTTTATCTTATTTATTATGCTCGGCGAACATTCTACAAAGGGAACAGTCTTTATTAAATAAATCCCAGTGACTTAATGTTATTTAAATCTATTTTACTGTCTGATTCTATCCACAGAAATTAAACTTTCCAAAGGGCAATGCACTGACAAGATATCAGTATGTTGGTCAAAGCTCTAAAGAATACTAAGGGTTATTCACAAAGCTAGCCTTCGGATCAGCTGTAGCTCCGACTGATCCTTTGGCTAGCTTCGGCCACCTGAGCCCTTCAGTTCAGTAGAACCGAAGGTCTGCTGTACGGGCTATGCACTGTGGCCTGCAGAGCTCCAGAAGCAGGCTGAGCGGCTCAGCCGAGCCGAAGGCATATGCTTTGGCTCGACTGAGCCGAAGTGAAACCGAAAGCGGGCCGACCATTGGCCGGCCGAAAGCCTCACAGCTGACAGCTGGGCAGAGCCAGCCGGGATCTTGCGGCTGGCTCCGCCCAGTTGCAATGACAGATTAGCATCCCCAGGTTACCTGGGACCGCTGAACTGTCATTGAACAATTGGGGGTTTGCGGTGCTAGTATTTGCTGCATTATACACTTTTATTCACTGTTATACTGGATTTGCTGTGAATTTTATTAAAGTCTGAAGTATTGGAATTCTCTGGAAAGTGTGGTCTGTTTGTATACTACTACATTCCAAGGTGGAGACGCACCTATTAGACCGACACCTGGGGAGTCCTGATGGTGGCTAAGGAATTGGAGCGATGAGGTTTCCTTTGGCTCTACATTTACTTTTTGTGGTCATACTTTTCCTTTATTTCATTTTCCTAACCTTCCTTTTTATTTGTACTTTTTTTTTTCTTAAGTGTGATTCAGATTTGGAACTATTGCTGAGTCTCTGTCAGGCATTAAAGGAGAACTATGAAGTGAGTACTTTTCACTCACCTCAAAGTTCTAGCCGACCTGTGACAATGAGACTGTCACAGGTCGGCTCAGTAGATCGGGAGGTGAGCGAACACATACCGGCGTTCGCTCACCTCTCGATCCTGTCACGGCTCTCTGCCGTGACAGGGGAGGGGCTGGATTCCCCCCTCCCAGCTCCGATCCGCCAGCGCTGACTGGCGGAACGGACGGGGGAGGGGGCGGGTACAGTTGGCTCTGCCTCTAGATAAGCAGAGCCAGCTGTCAGTCACGCAGCTGGGCGGATCCCGGAACAATTGTCGGGATCCGCTTCAGATGCGGCGTCTCAGTATATGACGAGCTACAGCTCGCGGTATACTGAGCCTAGGGTGACGGGAGGACACTAGTTTGTGTTCTCCCGTTACCCTAAGGAGAACTTTGGGGAAAAGCCTTAACCTCATAGTTCTCCTTTAATATGTTCAAGGACTTCAGATGTATAATTTACAGCTCAAATTATATGTAGGTTTATAAAATTGTGTTGACTTTGCACTTTCAGTATTACAGATCAATAAATGGGCAGTGAAAATGTGTAATGATTAAATGCTCACTGCCTGGGTTGATTACTTTTATACTTCAGTAATCTGAACATGGACAAACATTGTTTTTTTGGGATAAAATATAAGATA